GCATTGCCACAGACATTCCCTTTTGTGGTAGAACATAATGCTAGAAAATAACTGACAATATTTTTATGAAGCCTCTTTCTATTCACGGTCAGTAGCTTGTGCTCTACTCTGTAGTTATGTGGACTGCTAAGCAGTGACCCTTTTGAATTTATTTCTGTTACTAAGGACCCTAATCTCTTAGGGACACAATAACGTAGTACAAACTTTAAGTACAGTTTTTCAAATAGTCTAATTAATTACTACAAAGTGTCCTTCAAATTATAATTGACTGTTTACAAAGATAAGTAACAAAACTGCAAAAGGGGAAAAAAAAATTTGTTTTTTTTTTTTTTGTTTGGTTATTATAAGCAATAGAACATTGAGCATTCAGAATATTTCCAAAGCATAGGGTGTTTACCCTAGAAATAAAATTGCTAAGACCAAAGTGAAGTAATTGTTCAAAGTCACTCAACTAAGAAGAGTGAAAGAGTTAACTAAGAAGAGTGGAAGAGTTAGGGAGCTAACTAAGGCACTCACCAAAGTCCACGTTCTTCAACACCACATGAGAAATGGTATGGCATTACCACTGATCATTCCATTTCTTTTTTTTTTTTTTGAGACGGAGTTTCGCTGTTGTTACCCAGATTGGAGTGCAATGGCGTGATCTTGGCTCACCGCAACCTCTGCCTTCTGGGTTCAGGCAATTCTCCTGCCTCACCCTCCCAAGTAGCTGGGACTACAGGTGCGCACCACCATGCCCAGCTAATTTTCTGTATTTTTAGTAGAGACGGGGTTTCACCATGTTGACCAGGATGGTCTCGATCTCTTGACCTCGTGATCCACCCGCCTCAGCCTCCCAAAGTGCTGGGATTATAGGCGTAAGCCACCACGCCCGGCCTGATCATTCCATTTTTAAGCAGTGTAGGCACCAGGTTCATTCCCTCCAGAATTTCATTGCAGAACAGATGGCTTCTGCCTCTACGTCTTACACAGGACTGCAAAATAATTTTGTTAACAAGAATGGAGTTTTGCAACTGTAAAAGAATGTAATTCAGAGTTTTGGTTAACTGACTCTTCATTTTCTATAATCCACCCAAGGTGGATAATAGAAAATACATAATCTTAAGATTCTCCAAATTCTTCACACCATTGCCAGTGGTTAAAAAAACAAAATCAATAGGCCGGGAGCGGTGGCTCATGCCTATAATCCCAGCACTTTGGGAGGCCGAGGTGAGTGGATCACGAGGTCAAGAGATCCAGACTATCCTGGTCAACAAGGTGAAACCCCATCTCTACTAAAAATACAAAAATTAGCTGGGCATGGTGGTGCGTGCCTGTAGTCCCAGCTACTCAGGAGGCTGAGGCAGAAAAATTGCTTGAACCCAGAAGGCGGAGGTTGCGGTGAGCCGAGATCCTGCCATTGCACTCCAGTCTGGGTAACCACAGCGAAACTCCGTCTCAAAAAAAACAAAACAAAACAACAAAACAACAACAAAAAAAACCCCAAAATAAATAAAGCATATTCCTTGAACAGAACAGCCACTGGTGATGAAAGGAAAAGAGATAAAAGAAGTTATACAGTCACCATTCATTAATACAAATTTATAAAATGTTATAATCATCCAGTGATATCCAGGTTTCTTAAACTTTCTGGGTTTTTCTGTTTATTTGTTTAAGACAGGGTCTAGCTCTGTTGCCCAAGGTGGAATGCAGAGCGTGATCTTGGCTCACTGCAGCCTTCACCTCCTAGGCTCAAGTGATCCTCCCACCTCAGCCTCCTGACTGCAGGCATGTACCAACATGGCTTATTTATTTATTTATTTTTGTAGAGAAAGGGTTTCGCCATATTATCCAAGCTGGTCTTTAACTTCTGAGCTCCAGCAATCCACCCTTGGCCTCCCAAAGTGCTGAGATTATACATGTGAGCCACTATGCCCAGCCTAAACTTTCTCTATCTGAAATTTTAATTTCTGTGGATATGAGTGGCTATCCATACTGCTTGACAATCAGTTTGAAAATAGCAGGTATACCACACCAGTTTCAGAATGTACATTTCAGAGAAATACCTTAAAGACTACTGTAAGGGAAAGAATCATTAATGAAAATAAAAAGATGAGTATGACTGAATTAAGACTTGTGGTAACTACAGGAGTCTCGAAGTAACCCTTGGATGTAGTAGCTTTCAGTTACATAAACTGAAGAGTGTGGAGTGCCGTCTAGTGACTAAATGAGGGCTAATGATGGCATAGTGAGATAATCACACGAGCTTTTACAGAACTCGTACAGTATTACTTCAATCATCTAATTATACAGTTGTGAATTAATCACTTAGGTTTGGGAACCATCTGAGCCTACACTAATTCATTTTCAATCCTATAACACATACCTCCATTCCAAGCCTCTCTTTCCCTTCACAGGCAGTTATTTATACATAAGGTCTGTATATCCACTCCCAACAGTGCACTTCAGTCAGTTCCAAGATGGCCTCTCCTCTCTCCATTCCACTGAAATAACTACAAGAACATCACTACTTCCTGTTAAGACAACACATACTTTCTAGGCATTCTAAGAAGTACTTGATTGTTGGCAGCATTTGAAAAGGCCTTTCTCACAAGCCTTTCTTCATTACCCTGAGCCTTCCTTTGCCCTCCTCAGGTCCCGCCCTAGGAACATGCTCTCTCTTTCCTGCGCAAAGGCTACTGATCTCAGAAAGGCACAGACCAGAAGTGACCACTAGTTTTCTCAGCAGCATGTACACACTCCAGAGGAGCTGCCAGAAATATTGCAGTGACTCATGTCTCAATTCAACAGCCAACACTTATAAAAATGTATACCAAACGCCAGAAATGGGTTTTTATTAGTGAAAACAAAAAGTGGTTCTCTTTGGTGGAGCTGGAGGTATACAACATACAGTCAGTTATGTGATTATGATCTAAGAAAGACCCTGGGGAGATTTTGTACATCACAGAGTGAACATACAAAAGCCTGTAAGACATGGGCTACTTACACACCTGGGCTTTATGATATAGCCTATTGCTCCTAGGCTGTAAACCTGTATAGCATTTTACTGTACTGTGTACTGTAGGCAATTATAACACAATGGTAGGTATTTGTATATCTAATCCTGAGAGGTCAGGAGTTCAAGATCAACCTGGTCAACATGGTAAAATGCTCTCTCTACTAAAAATACAAAAATTAGCCAGGCATGGTGGTGGGAACCTGTAATCCCAGCTACTTGGGAGGCTAAAGCAGGAGAATCACTTGAATCTGTGGGGGCAGAGGTTGCAGTGAACCAAGATCATGCCACTGCACCCCAGACTGAGAGACAGAGTGAGACTCCATCTCAAACAAACAAACAAACCAACAAAAAAAAAAATTCAATGAGGCCCTTAGAATTGAGTTTCAATCTGGATTCCTAACCAATGCCCCATACAGACATCTGTTTAGCAGAGTTTTTCTTGTTTTCATGTACATAATACAAGGGTAACCAGATTCTGTCACTGAAATGCTGCTGTGTCTTCACTGGGCTCACATCCCAGGTGTGATATAAGTGGTAAGGATTTGGCTGCATCAAACATCTTTTGATGAAAAAAATGGTCAAGAATTTTGCTTTCAAATAACAGTAAGGTTACAAGGAAACACAAGATGGTCTTCAATGGCTACTGTTATCTGTCAAAAACCTTAATCATGTGGGGTGACAAAATTTAGTTAATCTCAGTTTGTAAAACTTATCAATGCAAACTACCATCAGGAAACACAACAGCAAAAATTCTGAGTGGCAATAGTTATCACAAACACCAGTGTCCACAGTACAGCTCAACTCTGTATGTATCAGCCTGGCCTGGCATAGGAATAGCTCCAAATCTGCTTTTCCATCAGCTGTTTTCTGTGGAGGAAAAGAAAAACCTAAAAACAACTACTTGACCATCACCAATAAAATGTTTGATGTGTCCAAATCCTTATTCACTTAGCACCACTGAGATCAAAGCTGAGTGAGGAAGTCTAATCCAGACTTGAAGAAATTCAGATCTAGATCTGTCCCTGTCACTCAGTTGTATGGCTTTGAGAAGGCCACCTCATTTTTTCCCCCAATACCTCAACTGCTATAAAAAAACACAGAAACTTGTACCAGTCACCAATGTACGCAAGTCTTGATGCATCTTACAAAACAATACATGTTAGTAAAATTAAGTTAGTAGGCAAACACTCAGAGCAGAAAAGAAGACTGTGGTCTTTGCATCTAGAAATGTACTATACAAAATATTTTTACAATTCTACCTCTCTTCTTCTACTGTTCGTGAATACCACTACATTGTTGCCTATCCTTAAGTCACTGGTTTAACAATTAATAGTCAATAGATCATCACATAGTCTAAAAATAACTTTCAATAAATCAGGAGAAAGTGACCACTAGTTTAGTTTAGGATAAGAACACCTAGATTCTAACCAGTATTCAGTAGGGACCCAGTTAGAGAACCATAAAAATAATCAATCTTAAAATTTCTCCTTAGCCTTCTTAAAACATTGATGTGTTTTATATGTGATTATAATACATATGTGATTTATATGTGATTATAATACGTTTATAAAAACGTCCAAAAAACACGTAATTCTCCTCCCTCGGCCTCCTGAGTAGCTGGGATTACACGTGTGCCACCACACCTCGCTAATTTTAATATTTTTAGTAGCGAGAGCGTTTCGCCATATTGGCCAGGCTGGTCTCAAACTCCTGATCTTTCAGGTGATCCGCCTGCCTCAGCCTCCTAAAGTGCTGGGGTTGCAGCGGTGAGTCACTGCGCCTGGTCTGAAACTATTACTTTTAATAGCAACATATCTTAGACATTAGAGCTTCAAGCAGGACACAAAAACCCTTGAATGATCAATTTCAGTACAAAGGATACTGAAGAGAGCCATTTCTCCTGCTCCTTAAAAAATAATTTTGTTTCAGTTTGCCAAAATAGTTTTGATTTCAATGAATTAAAAGGTCTCCATTTTGAAGATGTCAGTTTCTTTATACTTACTAAAGTGTATCTGGAGGGCCAATAATAAGGACTTCCCATCGGTAGAGATCATTGTCATCTATTAAACCTGCAGAAAAGCCTTCCACCGGATTTTTGTTGAGTTCTGTGGAAAAAGAAAAGTTTATTTAATACATTTAAGCATATAATTTTCATCCAAATTACGGAACTTGAACATAAATATTCAAGTAAACCATTAAATGCATATACCTTGCAAGACAAAACGCTGCTTGATGGCCAAAGCATTTTCATGTCTATACTGTGAGGAAGCCCTGGGTAAAGCAAACTAACCAGAAGATCAGCTTCTACTGGTGTCCAGCAAGGCTGCTGTCATTCTAGGTGGGCCTACAGTGGTCTTCTAAGAAACCTTTTAAAATGCAGATATCCAGGCCCATCCCCCAGAGATTCTCATTAAGAGGGAGCCCCTGAAATCAAATCAAGTTGGCAATTCTTATGCTGCTGTCTTTAGGGCATACTTTCAGAAACTTCAACAGAGTATCTAATCATACCTTTTCATTGGAATGTACTGAGCTTAATAACTTTCATTTATACTACCACTTGTATACCTATCTGACATGTCTCTGTAGTCTTGGGGGCCTGCTTCTACAGTTGGTGCTCCTGTGTGCCCATCCATCTTTGAGCACAAGGAGAGCAGAGGCCCCATATGTCTTGCCTGTACATGTTGACCCTCTGAGAGCCACAGCTCCTAGGACACAGGAGCAGCTTAAGAGTAACAGCTGGAGTATACAGGAATGCCTGGAGCATCGTGAGGTTGTTCGCTTCTAAAGAGAGTGCTATGGAATGGAGAAAGGTTGACAGAGTGGGAAACGAGAGGTAAGGAACTATTGAGGTCGGGGCACACAGGCCAAGACAGGGACCATAAGGAGCAGGTGAGGAGGGGTACAGAGCCCAAAAGGTTTCCAGAGACACCAGGATTAATAAAGTACTGGCCTACTGATGGCGAGCAGATCATGTGAGGAACGTTTAAGCAGCTTTAATGAGGTATAACTGACATTCGGTAACTGCACATACTTAAATTACACAATTTGGCTGGGTGTGGTGGCTCACACCTGTAATCTCAGCACTTTGGGAGGCCGAAGCAGGTGGATCACTTCAGGTCAGGAGTTCAACATGTTGAGACCCTGTCTCTATTGAAAATACAAAAATTAGCTGGGCATGGTGCCATGCACCTCTTGCCTCAGCCTCCCAGTACTCAGGAGGCTGCGGCAAGAGAATTGCTTAAACCTGAAAGGCAAAAGGTGCAGTGAGCCGAGATGACACCACTGCATTCTAGCCTAGGTGACAAAGCAAGACTCCATCTTCCCTCCCCGACCCACCAAAAAAAAAATTTAGTAAGTACTAACATATGTATACACCACAGGAACCAACACAACAACAATCACAATAGTGAATGCACATATCAGTCACCCACAAGGTTATCAAATGTTTTACCTGTCAGGGGAACTGAGTACTCACTGGCTCAAATTGGAAAGTGGGGACAGAGAACACACAAAAGAGTGGTTTGAAAAGGACTTTCTGGGAATCTCAACAGGTAATTCTCATGTACTACCTGCCATCATCCTCAAGCAACTTTGTCTAATGATGAAAGTCAGTATAATACAACTCAGAATGCTACAAAGGATTGAACCAATGTGTAGGTCAGTGAGGAGATACTAAATTTTTTTTTTAAAGACAAGATTTCACCATGTTGGTCAGGCTGGTCTTAAACTCCTAACCTCCGGTAATCTGCCTGCCTCAGCCTCCCAAAGTGCTGGGATTACAGGCATGAGCCACTGAGCCCAGCCTATTTTTTTTTTCTGAGGAGATATTAATTTTTTGGGCAATCAAAGATGGTATTATTTCAACAACATGCCACCAAAACATGAGAAAGCCAATAGTGAAAATTTATGTTTAGGCCAGACATGGTGCTGTAATCTCAACACTTTCAGGAGGCAGAGGTCAGGAGTTCAAGACCAGCCTAGTCAATGTGGTGAAACACTGTCTTTACTAAAAATACAAAAATTGGCCGGGCATGGGGGTGCACACCTGTAATCCCAGCAACTCAGGAAGCTGGGCAGGAGGATCACTTGGACCCTGAGGCGGAGGATGCAGTGAGCCGAGACCACGCCCCTGTACTCCAGCCTGGGTGACAGTGTGAGACTCCATCTCAAAAACAAAAATAAAAAATTTATGTTTAAACATGAAATGCTTCGTCTCTTGAAATTTGAGGGGAGATTTTTATAAGTCTAGTATTTTTGGGTAAGAAGCAAACTAGATTTTTAAAATAGCTGAAATCAGTGCTGTATTACAAAACACAATAAAGGTATTTTTACTTTAAAGTGGCTAATCTAACGTACTTTTTAAGATGCTGAAAGTATAAACACATTAAGATGGGAATAGCATTCTCGTTATTTCGTTTATGCAAGCATATGTGTACTGAGCGCCAACTATGTTGCAGACACTCTCATAAATAAAAAAACAAGAAATCCCACTTTACTGTCAACTGAACGATGGACTAGAACACACACAAATGCACTGTGAGCAGTTATTTTCTACCTGAGTTATTTCATTTCCAACCCTTTTCTAGATAAACACACTACATTACTCAGACCACTTTCTACAACACTGTACATAGGAGTTTTGTGGAAGATTCTATAATATACCCAGAAATTACCTAGTTGCATTTTCCACCGGAAGTCCAGGGTTTATAAACATAGGTAAGCTCTGAAATTAGTATATATGGTCAAAATTATCCTTGAAAAATTCATTACACTTTCCATAAAGTGTATCATTGCTTCTTATTCTTGTCAAAACCCCTAAGTTCTTAAAATCTTTTGCCCATTCCCTCCATGTATTTCTTCCACCAGGATAATTGTGTCCTTTGCTTGTTCCATGTAAGTCATACAAAAGCCATGATGAAAAATGTCCAACATCTCACTTTTGTCATGGCTTCTGCCCCCAGCATGAAACCTCCTAGGTCTACACGCATGAATATTTAACAGGCTTAATCCACCTAAAGTGATAGAACCTTACCATACCTTCATGAATGCTTCCTTCAAGGTCCATATCTATACTAGCCCGCTCCCATGAAGTCTTCCCTAAACGAATTTATCAAATAATCTTTTGACTTCTGCTAAATTCCTACTGATTGTACTTTCAAGTCTGTATCTTCTGACATGTGACTAACAGCAGCTCCTGATTCCCAGAGAAGTAAATGGGCAATTACAATGTGCTCCAACAATAGGACAAGAATTTGGGGGCACACAAAAAAGAAGGGCACATAACATAGCCATGAAGAGTAAGAAAGTCCTTCTAAAAAGGAAAAAAATTAAGGGTCTGGAATGCAAGGTTTAGAATCTACACTTCTAGATAGAGGAGCACATATAAAAACTTGAAATAAGGCAATCAGTCTGTGACTGGAATGGCAAGGGGCAGGGGAACAGCTGAAACTACACAGAATGTCAAAAGCTGGACAGCAAAGGGCCTTTGTAAGCCCTGCATGCTTGGACTTTATCCAGAGGGCAATGATAAGCCTTTGAAGGGTGGTTCTTTTTTTTTTCTTTTAAACAATGGGGTGACCTCAGGAGATTTACATTTGCAAAAGCCAATCCTGCAGTATGTAGAAGATTATATAAATAAGGCACAATGAGGACAAACAAAAAGCAAAACGATTCAAGTAATCCTGAAAAGTATACATCAAGTATACAGTAGTACAAACAATGAAGAAAAAAGGGTATTTAGAAGACAGAATCAATCAACCTAACTTGGTGATGTTACAGTAGTGGAGCTCAAAGTATTAAGTCAAAAATGACATATGAGCTGGGCATGATGGCTCACTCCCAACACTTTGGGAGGCTGTGGTGGGCAGACCATTTGAGCCAGCAGTTTGATACCAGGCTGGACAACATAGCAAAAGCCTGTCTCTACCAAAAAAAAAAAAAAAAAAAAAAAAAAAAATTCTATATACACACACACACACACATATATATATATACACACACATACACACACACACACACACACACACTCACACACACACATTAGCCAGGCATGGTGGCATACACCTGAAGTCCCAGCTACTCGAGAGACTGAGGTGGGAAAATGGCCTGAGCCTAGGAGGTGGAGGTTGCAGTGACCTGAGATGACACTCAAAAAAATAAATATTTTTTTAAAAGGAAAATGATAAATAAAAAAGTTAAGCAGAGTTACCATATGGCCCAGCAATTCCACTACTGGGTATATACCTAACATTTGTCCACACAGAAAGTTGTACATGAATGTTTGTGGCAGCATTAGCTGTAATAATCAAAAGGCGGAAACTCAAAATGTCCATCAACAAATGAGTTAACTGCGGTATATACATACAGTGAAATATTATTCTGCCATAAAAAGAAATGAAGCACCAATATATGAAGCTCAGTGACATCAGGCTAAGTTAAAGAAGCCAGACACATAAGGTCACACATCATGTGACTTATTTTATACGATATATCCAGAATAGGCAAATCCAGAGAGACAGAAAGCAGACTGGACAATGAGGGGAGGGAGAAATGGGGTATCATTACTTAATGAATATGGGAGGGGGGCGATGTAATGATGTGGTGAAAAAAATTTAAAACCAGTGCGAGTGAGAAAATAATAATAAAAAATAAAAATAAATTTTAAAAAATTAAAAATTCCAATGAAGACACCCGAAGGGGGGGAAGTGTGAGCTGGTGGTTGGTTGCACAACATTGTGAATACACTAAATACCACTGAGTGGTGCACTTTAACACTGTTATCTATAATGTGAATCACCCCCTCCTCTTTAATGACACCAAATTTCTGTGCAAGGGTAGAAATCTGCTTCATTCACTGAAATGAAAAACATAGGAGGAGGTACTGGTTTGGTGGGAGAGGGGAAGAAATGGTGCTGGGTTTAATATTAAATGCCTTTTGTTAGGGGCAAAAATACATTGTTTTAAAAAGAAATCTAGCCAGGAGCAGTGGCTCATGCCTGTAATCCCAGCACTGTGAGAGGCTGAGACAGGTGATCTTCTGAGGTCAGGAGTTTGAGACCAGCCTTACCAACATGGTGAAACCCCATCTCTACTAAAAATACAAAAA